ATCATTCCAGTGTCCCGCCGATCTGGTTGGCTTCGCCCTTTAAGACTTATATTTAGCCGGGCACTTGCGAAGCGACTGAATGACGCAGTCTCACTCCGAGCATCCATTCCTCGGGAGGTTTTGGAGTGAAATCTCGGTGAGCGAAAAAAACACCTCGGTCGGTGGGCATGTTGAGATGCGAGTTGTCTTTTGGGCAGTGCATCTCGAATACATGCACACAGATGAGAACACGCCGCAGCCGGCTTCTTCGTTCGGCTTTCCCAGCTGTTCAATGTTTCGCCGCGCGGTATATTCATACCATGTCGATATCTATGAGGCTGCGCACAAACAATATCCACTCGTCCCTCTGTCGCGCATGCAGGGCCGCATCCATCCACGAAACTGGAGAGGTGTTTACCGTGCAGAATCAAAGACCTGTCTTTGTGCACAGTCTTTCTTTCTTTTTCTTGTTCTTGTTCTTGGTCTTTTTCTTTTCTTCAAAGAAAAAAAAAGATACCATCTCCAGGTGCCCGGAATACACCCCATTCTCCTCCACCTTGACACACTGGGAGGAAACCATCCCTGTCGGCATCTACGTACGCCGCGCTGGGTGTTTTGAAGAGCCTCCAGATGTCTGGCCGTGCACGCCTATCCTTTTTCAGAAACAGCCTGGTAGTTCCCGAGTATTGAGAAACACGTCGGGCATCACGGGCGTCCAAAGCAGCCCGGCATTGCCGAGACCCTTTCCCGCTGTTGCGGCTTTGTTTTGCTTCTCCCTCTCTCTCGGGCGCCAGGCGGAGAAAGAACCACGATGTGAATGTTTTGAAATCTTTCATTTGTGTGCCGAGGGTGTGAGGTTTCAAAATAAAAGGGGGGGAGGCGGGTAATATTGGGGCACTTCATTTAAGAGGCGTTTTTTTTGCTCGTGCCGTGCCTTGCCTTGAACGCCATCGTGAACTTTCTTCCCATGTCCAGTTTTGGGTGGATCCGTACCGAGCCAAATCGCCAAATCGGGGCTTGGAGACGCCGAATGTGGTCCAATTTCCATCTTGACATTGCGCGTCTTCGCAGAAAAGGGTAGAGCTTTCTTTCTACAGAGTTTCGTAGTCTTTCGTGTGGCAAATGGCCTGGTTGCCGAATCCTCCTTCTTACCCATGTCAACTGTCAACCAGGACTTTTTCATTCGACAACTAACAACATGGTCTGCAACAGCCATTCGTCAGGCGCAACCTTACGAAAAGGACACCCTCAACTTCCCTTGAATGCGGCCGGGTTGTGGAAAACGGCGGATTCGGAACACCTCAACCGTCTTCCCTCCAACAGTCGGAGCAGGAAAAGTCAGTTCCGCTGATAAGCCGATGTTCCGAATTGTCCACCGCGTTCAGCTCGGGTATGTACATTTGTCATATGGGTTCGGGCTTATGTATATCCCAGCACTTGGCCATGCAAAACTTTTCTCCGGATGTACATACATTATACAGAGTTGGGAGGGGTAAATCCGGTCAAAACATGCAAATTGCTGCTCGCTGGGTCCGCCCCTTTTTTTTTCCCATGAAAGAAAAAAGCACGTCATCGCGTATTTTAGTATTTCACTTGAAACGCCCATCACGAAGCCAACTGCCTTGTCTGCCAAGATTCACCAGCAGCAAATCTGCCGGCCCAATCCTACCCCATTAACGGCCCTTGCTGCAGCCCGGCAGCGGCGCGGGTGCCGCCCGTCCGCTTCTGCCTTTTGGTCGTAGTACTGGTGCCATTTATACTTTGGACTAATGCGTGACCGTTGAGCAGGAACCAGGGTCTGAGCGTGTCCATGTCCAAAAAAAATTAAGAGGGAGAAAAATCTGTCCAGCTTTGGAGTGAATGACGCATCGGCGAGCGCAGTTTTGCGCCAGACTTGGAGATGCGCAGCGGGTGACCGGCCGCAATGGTTGTGAGAGACGGAGGGAAAGAAATGAAGGCGAAAAAGGTTGACTGCTTTTCCAGGCAAGTAACTACCTAGGTAGGTGTGTTGGCGACTCTCTTTCGCCGTCCTCTCTTCCACCATGTCCAACTGCCCGGCGTCCGATGGCTTGCCAAATTAATGTAGTACGAGATTTGTACAACAGCCTTGAAGCCTTGCCAATAAGTTGCCTTACTCCGTTGTTGACAGTTTGGTGTAGAGACGTGTCTGGTGCACTATTCTTAGATTAGCCCACGCCCGCCGAATGTGACTGCCCTGTTGCTTGCTGAAAATCCCAAGCCCTGTCAATTCCTTGCTTGCCCTGTCTGTCCATCCATCGTCCCCATGACTTGCGGTTGGTGCCCAGCGTGCCCGCCATCATCATGCAACAAATCGGCAGACTTGGTGTGAAGTCGTTGGCCCAGCGTGCATTAGTCCAACGTGCTCTGTGCTTCCTAGCGTCCTTGCGTTGATGATCGCCCTGCCCCCCCAACTTCTCGCGCGTTAGCTGGTGAAGGGCAGGATGATGCTTCAAGTTCCATGCATGAACGAACCTTATTTCGTTTGACGGGCCTATCATCCACTCTCTGCAATGTACCATGCCGCGAACCTAGTGTTGTCGAAGCCTTCTCTGACAACAAATTTCGCACCCCCAGACGCTGGCGTCTTGGCGGTTCTTCTTTACGGCGTTGACGCCTGCAGCTTTGGCACTCATGGACGCTTCCAAGCGAATGCCGGGGTCGGGTTATGCGTCATTTGCAACCCGCACGCTGCAGGGCCCTGCTGTCTGCCTCGAGAGGCATTGCTCGCTTCTAGTCCATGCCAACCTCAACCCAGTGCTAGGAGGCATCAAAATGTTCGCCAACGGTTGCTTGCCACCTTGTCCGCTATCTGACGTGAACTAGTTCCCCTTCATTCGGACTTGGAATTAGATGTCTGGATAATTTGTCACGGACATGTAACGACACCCTACCGATGAAGTGCCAGCCGATGGTGCCTGAATCACCCTCGAGTTGACCTACTGCAACGAACCAATTGAACTTGCTGAAGAGACAATTCTGTTGCTCCGCACGTCGGTCTTCTGGTGGGACACACGTTAGGAATACTAGTAGTAATGGTAGAGAAACTTCAAGGCAAATTGGGGGGTGTGCATTTGTGACCCTGGGTTTGAGGGCACAAGTACAGGTACGTCGAGAACCTGAGACTAGGGTCCTCGCATGAGACGGTTGTCAGGTGACTTTTGTCCAATACAACCCCATTCTGGGAACAAGTCTGTCGACGTTGCCAAGAACCACGATAGTTTTTTTTTTTTTTGGCAACAAAACGAGGTGTCATGGTGAGACATCTCTAGAATAAAAGACTATTGCACTGGGGATTGTTTTTTGGGTCTCTTGCTCCCTCATCGACGACTATATTAGGAGCGGTAGTGGACGGTGATGCGTGATTGAGAAACATTAGACGAATTGACCCCACACACTTCCAATGCATGAGGCTTTGTTGATACCGAAAAAGACACCAGTGACATCTCCACCTAGTCATGCGGCGCTTATGCATCTTTACGTCTTCTTGACATTCGATGCAGTCCCAGCGTCCCCAGACAGTGTTCATGCCTTTTTCGTTTTGTTGGTTAGTATAACAATTTGTTCCAAACCCCTTTCCCATTGGTGCTTGTGCGCCTTTAATATACCGACACTCTGGCTCTGCAATGCGTTCCCCCCTGTTAGTTAGAGCACGGAGTATGACGAAGGGCTACTCCGTACAACAACTCGGGCAAAATTTGTTAAATGAGTCAGACAATTTCAGAATAGGCAGGCAGCCTTGGTGAACAGGGCAGGTTCACGCCGGCAACCAACAAAGGTGGCGTCTCGGCTACCGGGCCATCAAGGTGAACCTGCTCGAATCGTTAACTGACAAATTGCCTTGCCTGGTTTGAGTCGATCTTATGCAGGTCGGGGGGAAACCCCGGGCATACAATGGAATGGATATAGCGGCTCCAACGGCTGCAAACGGACAGGGCTAGCGGAGATGGCCACAGCCGCGGTGGATGGAAAAGACCACATTCGGGCTCGAGCTGCCGTTGAGAGGAAGTTGGTCTTGTCGGGCGACGATGACAAGGCGGGGAATCTGGCATCCGGTGGTGGCTGCAGATCAGAACTGCGCCTAGTGATCGAAGCCTGAGCTATGTGCGTTGAAGGTAGGAATCTAATCTATGTATGTCTGAATCCTATTCGCTCTATTTCTGTAAAAGCCGGCCACTGTTTTACTGACTCTTCCGGTGCTTGATATCAGAATCACCCGCCACGATTGTCCCGTCAGGAAGAACCCTCTCCGTCGCCCTGACATGTGCCAGAAGAAACGGATAGGCCAAGTCGCAAAGCAAAGAGGTCCCAACAATGATTACAGAGATGGGGTGAAATACGAACCCGTGTGCTTCGGGCCAGAACCACCATAGAAGTACGCACGTCCCAGGAAGTCCAAGCTGCGTCCCGAGAAACCGGGTGAACCTATCAGAAGGCCAAGGAGCCGAGTCAGTCAGCAAATTCACTCACTATAAGAAATATTACAAGCTATGACTCTAATGTTGAGTGCTGCGTCTCGCGTAGTACAGAGGCAATTTCATCGGCCCGAAAAGTGAGCAAAAGCAGACTAATTCTCCGGGAGAAACAGGAAGCACCGGCCAAGGACAGTGTGATAGGACAGCCTTACGAATATCGGCCAACTTGTATGGCCCGCCGGTGGGGAGGGGAGGGGAGAGTTGTGTGTTGGTCGTCGATATTGTTCAGCTTATGGGGTCACCTTCGTCTAAAATGGCCTGAACCAGAAAACAAAAAAGAAATGTGACAAAGAAGAAGATGGCCCAACATACGTGATGGCAGGTTATCCTCTCATATGCTGGGATAAGAAACGATGGCAAGAAAAGAGAAAGCGACAGGCGAGACGGACTATTCCATGGCATCACCAACACCGACAAGGGCGATGCAGATGCAGAAAAGTGAGAGACGACCAACTCACCATATCGCATAGCTCTGACCACCGGAATGCCCTCGCTGAAGCAACATGCCCAGTGCACCAACACTCATGATCATTTGTGCGACGCCAGCAGACCACCACGCCAGCTCCGTCGTATCTCTTGCTTCGAGACCCTTCCATATCTTGCCGGATTGAGGCCTGAGCCGCGATGAGGCTCCTTGAGCCACCACGACACGAATAGGCTGTTGGTGACGAGCCCAAAGACGAAGACCAGGCCCAACAGCAGGGGCACATGGCGGGCGACCAGTGGCGAGGCGGCATTCGACCTGCGTCCGTACCTGAGGGTGGTGTACAGCACAGGCATGTCGAGGGCGAGCCACATGACGAACCCGGCGAATTCGAGCCACTCCTCTGTCACGTAGAAGGCGTACACGATCTCCCATGAGAGGTTGATCCCCAGAGCGAGGAGCGGGATGGGCGTATCGCGAGTGCTGAGGGAGCGTTTAGTCATGAGAACGTAGCAGATGAGCCAGAAGACGACGCCGGCGCTGAGGAGGGCTGACGATGCCGGGATGAGCCAGCCTGGCGCTGTGGGCGGTGGTATATCGCTCGATCCCATTGTGTCTTGTCGTGATGAGGATTGCTGCCTTGGTTGGCGGTCGCAATGGCCGTGGAAGGCGGTGCTAATGGAGAGAAAATCTGACTCTACCGTCGACCTACGTATTTACGGAGGAAAGGGGGAGGCGGCACTTGAGTGGTGAGATTCCTGCGGAGACGCGATGCAAGTGCCGACATGGACGGAGGATCTGGGCTCCAGTGCTGCAAAATTGAAAACGCTCGACTTGGACAAAGCACCTATAGGGTACGCTGATATTTGGCCAAGAAAATCAATGGCAATGATCGCTCGCCGCGGCCCGTGACGGTGGAAAAACGATGATGAAATCAATTATTTATTACTTGAGCTTGCCTCTGCTAAACTCTGTGCCGTCACCCACGAGAAACTTGGGCAGGTAATTTGTTCCCCCAGCTCAGCCCAGCAACAACCATATCAGCAACTTCGCATGAGAGCCCTTCTTCACAACGTCCTCTAAGACTCCTCACCCCTCGCCCCCTCTTCATGAAAAGATGGCACATTTCCCTGAATATATCCCAGCAGAATATCTGGCGACAAAGCCGTTGCCAAAACAGCCTCATCTATGGGGAGGCGTTCGGCACAGGCCTCGAATATCCTTTGACGGATACTCGTAGAGCTTGGACACGGCGTACCGGGAGAACATGCACGCAGGCAAGGCACCAGGTAGTATCGCCGAATCGGTGGGCTAACTGTCGATGTCGACCATAGACTGACGCCTTCCACCATGTGAGCTTGAACGACAAGTCAGCCAGCGCTCGCTCATTTTTGCTCGCCCACGAAAGCAGAAAGCCACACAACTTACGTCCGTATGGTGTTTGAAAAGAATCCCACGGAAAATAAGTCGTCGACTCGGCAAAAACCATTTGGACCCAATCGAAGCAGCCCGGTATCTGTCGAAGCGTATACTCGCACCGGAAATCCACAGGCCGAGACGCGTCCGAGGTAATCGTCTCGCTGCAATTCCACTGGCCGGGATCGTAAACTGCCCGAGTGCTTATCCAGTCTGAGCCGACTAAGAGTAAAAACGTCAGGTTGACATTCTCTTTTCTCAGATTACCCTGCAATTGTTCCTGGAATCTTGTTAGGGCCGAGCGCGACTCTGTGAATATCCATGCGTTGTCTGCAGGGAACCCGGCAGCATTTCGCCAAAGCGCCGAGCGCTTGGATTTGTCTAAACCGAGGTCCGCTGGCTCTTCCCTTGTCTTGTCGCGAATTTGCTCGTCATCGTGGGGGAAGATGACGACTCCCCTAATGTCGAGATGCTTCTTCATGTCGTTGAGAACGCTTTGCAGAAGTTGCAAATGGCCCTCGTGGGCGGGATTAAATGCGCCCGGAAATAACATAACTCGGTTTCTGCCTTCAGCGTCAATGATGGAAGATTTTACATCTTGGTTGTTAGTGAAGGGGAGCCCGTCACTTGGAATGCTGATGTTACACTGCTCGCAGGCCTCACGAATGTAATCCCATATAGTCTTCGCCATGTCTCTGTCGCACGTTGCGGAACAGAAAACGCGACCAGCGGAGGAAGGATGTAGTGCTGCAACACGCAATGCGTGGAAAAGGTTTGGCGAGATTTGAGTTTCCAGCTGGCTGTTTACTGTCAACTGCAGTCGAGCTGCCGACAGCGAAAACACTTTGCATAACGAAAGATAGATTAGATACAAGGTAGGTAGATGTAATTGCAAGAAGCGGTCTACATCATAATACGATACAATGAGTCAACAATGTGCCTACGTTGCACATTCCCGGTTTCCACAGAAATGGTGACTTGGCCCGGCAGATACCCCGAGCTTTTGATACCAATAAATGACCCTGATCCTGTAGACCACTCACTGTTCATGGATATTGTGATTGCCATTCGCACAGCTGCATCGTGCAGTGTTTCAACGTACATCTGGCAGGCCTGGGGATTGTGGCCGGCATCTTTGTCGCTTCAGCCATGTTTCTGTCTCATATTACGCTGGATCCTGTATTCAATCATGAGGTCTTATGAACCGTGTTTGCTCATCATCATATTACCACTATACAGACATTTCCAATAGGCTTTTTGTAAGCTTATTTACAAATATGGAGTGATTTGGACAGTTTCTTGTTACTCCCGAGATCAGCAAACACCAAGCCAACTCATTCAGAACCCCCATCGTACCCAACTGTGCCTCCGACTCCCCCAAACCAGATTCGACAACATTCGTGTCCATATTCCTCGCGCCAGTGCTGGTGCTCAGCATACATCACGCATTTTTTCGCCACATTGTACAGGCCCGTAGTAACAATGACGCGCGTTCCGAGTAGTTTTTTCAGGCAAAGACTGCGTGAAGTATCATGGCGAAACAGAGAGCAAAGACGGACGGGCTGTTCAAGGTACCAACAGAAGCAGGCGAGCAAGTGACAAAGCTATTTCCACTGGCCCCCTTGTGAGTGATGACGCCTGCTTGCTTGCAATCCTTGGTAATAATGACTCGATCGGGTCCAGGAGAACCTGGATGCTGTTAGCCAAATATAGTTATCGCCATGGCCCTCCATAGGATGGGCGGGGTTGGAAACTGGTGGGAAATGCAAATACTCACCGCCATCGTATACTTCACCGTTTGCGAAAATGGGAAATTCGTAGTAAGGTCCGCTGCCGGTGAGTTTAATCTTCTCGAGGTTCCTGTACTCGTGCGGATATTTATTTCTTCCAACTGAGCGGCCTTGCTTCAACAAAGAGCATGCTTCCCCGGTCGCTGTGGTGAGCTTTTTAGAGCTGTACATCGTGCCGCCGCAGGAGAACGTATCGCACACGGCCAAGGCAACAAGTGATAGGAAAAAGGTGAAAGAAAGTCTCATCTTGGGATACACAGTACTGTTTCGTCCGGGTGGATGGGAATCGAAGTTCGGGTCCAGAGTGTGATGTGATGCTCGATGTCATAAAATGTATCATAAGAGAAGTCAAGTTTGGTGCAATTGAATTTCGGAAGAGGCAGCCCAATTTACGTCACTAGTTTCTTTTCGTTGGCTGGACCATCTCTGATCACGGGCTGTGTCCATTGACGTTGCAGCTGAAACCAGCGACGACCTTGAGCATTGAATGGCCCAGGAACAAGATTAAGCCCACAGATTGGGCGCAGCCACCAGCGGCGCCTCCTTTGATCCACCGAACAAAAGATGCAAAATGGTTGGCGGTTTCGGCATCATGTACCTTTTCGGTCCGCCCTAACCGATGAATGGGGCATTTTCCCTCTTGGCTTGGCCCCGGTACCTTGCCGGGATGTGCCCTTTGATCGACATGAGAAGCGCGATGGTGTCGACAGCTACTCGTGGTAGGGCTGGTTCGGTTCAAGGATGCGGAGAGTGAACATTGAAAGGAAGGCAAGGAAAGGAAATTTTGATAATGGAGATTGTTAGAGATATTCGCACGTTGGCCAAACAGGCAAGAAACAGGATTTCTCTCACACATGATACATGAAATGCGTGGTCGTCCCAGTTTACATGTGAATCTGCAAAATAGTGTCGTTGCACTGTCAATGTTCTCAAAGGAGTCAATCATGTGATCCGGTGTTCGGTTGCTCCTTCGTCTTGGAACTAGTACCACATGCAGTTGACGAGTAGGAGCCAGGCGTGAGGGGCTACCAGTTGGCGTTAGGCATTGGACAATGGACAATGGACCAGACCTTGAACGTGGTGAACCTTGAACCTGCTGCACCCGGGCTCGAGATCCGCACCATCGATCCATCTGGAGCGGGAGATGTGTGTGGCTGTTGAACTTTGCGGATGGCGGGGGTCCTTTCAGGCGATGGATGTCACTTTCCAGACCTGCTGTTGCGTTATTCGTGGTGGGAGAATGGCAGTCATCATTTGTGATGCGCATTTGTGTACGGCGTTAGTGGTTGCAGGTTGGTGCATGGCAGAAACACAGGCCCAAGGCCATGCATGCATGTTGACAACTTGAGTGCATAATATACTAACGGTGAGCAGTTATTCGTCACAGCTCCGGAATGCGACTCGTGTGAAGGCTTGTCGGACTCAAAATGCAGCAAGCTGCAGCAAGCGTAACGCAGAGTTTCGGTACATCAAAGGCAGACACACTGACAGCTCTGGAACCTCGAGGCATCATGGTCAACATCGCCATAGTCAGTAATGACCTTCCCCGCGAGCTTCGCCGCACTGCTCTGGAGCCGACGATGCCGGCAGTCTAGCTTCCTGCATCAGCTCGAGCTGTCCCCTTCTGTGGTCTTCGCTGGCCATCTGTCAACCAATCATTTCCTTAGTGTAACCGTCGATCTGCAACCCGAAACCGTCGTTCCTGAGGGTGTCACACGAGAACTGCCGCCAACAACTCCCAACGCTCAACCCGGGTGGCTGCAGCTTGGAGATGGAGAGGCCCGTGTTTGCTGTGGTCGCCCGGCGCAAGCATGTGGCATTTTCCCAATCGCTCCTTGCTGTCGCTCGCGCCAGAATTGTCATGTCGCGATGCTTGGTGGATACGTCACAACCGCGGATGAAAATGAAGGACAAGCATGGTCCGTAATGGCAACGCTGGGCCTCGATACCTACATACGTTCCTGGTGACTAGCTCGTGTGAGTTGCGGAAGACCCTGGGTGGATCGAGAACGAAAAGGCAAGCTTCAATGTTGGCTCACTGACGTTTGTGAGGCACTAGTAGGTGATTTTCCTTTGGCCTGCTGGTATGGTATAGTAAAATACATATATTTAGCATCCAGCCCTCAAGACCCCTCTGTTCGCCCAAGTCTTCAGAAATGGCACATTGCCTCATCCAGTGACGCGCGGGACGTTGCTTGTTTACCCGAGTTGTCAAGTTTGAGATCGAGCAGAAACGATGATCCAATAGCATTGTGGTAAATAGCCTTCGTCCCAACCCGGCCACCACCACCACAATCTCGCGACTGTCTGGGGTTCATCTCCATCCTCAGCTGCCGGTGGCATCTGTCTCCAGATTGTGCCACAGTCTTGGCAACTCGGTCGACTCGACAGAGCACTTTTCCCTTCCTTGACAATAGCACGAGGGTCCGGCCAGTACTCCGTATTGTATGATTATTGTCTTGTCATTGAATGTAGTACTACTGTTCTGGCTGTCTCCTCAGACGCCCAGCTCGGCGACCGCAACATGTTCTAAAGTTGGTGGTCTCGAGTGCTTTGCTGTCCTTGGCTTTGGGCGCCACATCCCAGTCCTTAGGAAGCCGCTCGTCACATCGCGAGTCTCCATCTGTGCCGCATGTGGGCTTTGCGGCGTCTCATGCGTGCAACCGACCGCAAATTTCCTCAACAACGGCCTTCCTCGCTGGCACCCTCTTGAGTTCCCTCCCTCCCTCTCTCACCTCTCTCACCTCCTCATCACTTTCGCCATCGCCGCCACCAGGCTTGATTCTCAGGAGTCAGGAGGCATCGGCTGCCTGGCTCGAAGTTGCGACTCGTACAGCGTCAGAGCAGCAGCTCCCGCGGCGGCCTGTGAGCCTGCCATCACGGAAAGAGGGCCAGCCCAGAAGAAACAAGAAACATCGACATCTCTCGACGTCCTACGCGAGTGCTGGGTCACCGGGTGCGATGCGCCGACTCTGACAGGACAGGACGCCTCTGACCAAGGGCCTGTTTTGGGCCTGTCTGTCTCGTCGGCCGGTCTCGTCGGTCAGGCGCTGGTGCGTGTGTCCATGTCCCTTGAATCCGGGGACCATCAGCAACTTTCCCGTCGCCTCTTCTGACCCGTTTTTTTCTTAGCTCGCATCCCTGTCTCGCCATCTCATTGGCTGTGCAGGTGGAGGCTGCCGCCGTGCCCCACCGGACAGGTCGGGTTTTTCGAGCTAAAAACTCGGCACGACCATGGATCCAAGACACCGCCAGCCTGCTCCCGTGCCACGGTCCAACAACGCCAACTCCAACTCCATCTCGAATGCAGGCTCCAACGGCGCCTCTCCTTTTCCTCCCGCCTCGATCGTCGTGCCGCCTTCTCTGCACTCGGCCCATCGCCACCCCTTCGCGACGCACACCTTTGCACCCGTCTCCGCGTATGCCTCCGACCCTCGTCGGGCCTCAGACACCCCGTACTACCCGCCGGCCGGCCGCGCCAGCTTGCCAGCTCCGGAGCTTGGCCACAACCATTCGCAGTCGCAGTCGCAGTCGCATTCACACTCGCGCGCGCAGAGTACTTCGTCGCTCCCTTCGCTCCCGTCTGCCAGGGAGCACAGTCGCGTAATGCCTCCTCCGCCAACCTCGCCCTCGCAGGGCCAGCCGCCGCCGCCGCATCATCATCATCACCAGCAGTCGCAGAGCTCCGTGAGCTACGGCCCGATGCCGACTCGACCGCCTTCTCTTTCTGCTGGGCCATCAACTTCGTTCCCGTCTGGAAGAGAGCTGCCGGCCTTGAGCTCGCTCACCAGGCCGGGTGGCGGCGCTGGAAGTAGCTCCATGTCGATATCTTCTATGCTTGGCGGACCGCCTCCAGCTTCCCGTGATTCACAACCTCCGCCACACTACTCATCTCACGGTCCTCCGCCATCATCAGGGCCGGGATATGGGCCTGCCATGCAAGCTTCGCCAAGGTTGCCTTCTGCGTCATCCGAATATCCCCCATTTCGCCGACCTCAGACCCCTGACCATCCACGACCATACGATCCCCGAGGCAGTGCTGCACCGTCACCTCATGGCCCCTTTGCGACCACACCCGACCTACAACGATACAATACACCCCAGGGCTATCACCAGCGTCACCCGTCTGCACCCGCCGATACTTCGCGAGAGCCAGGGAGAATGTCTGCCGGTCCGCCACCGACTCAAAACAAACCGCCGCCGCCGTATGGTGGTATGCCACCGCGGCCATTGGAGGTGGGCCGATCGGATGACCCTTATGCAAGACGAGATGATAGCCGGCCGCCCCCAGCCATGGAATATAATCCTGAACGGCCGGGTCTCAGGCCATACCCTTACGATGAACGGTTCCACCCCGATAGAGATCGACAGCCAGTTCCCGAGGCTCGTGAGAGAGAAGGTAGGGAGCGAGCGTATTCGGGAGGGGCCGATTCGCGCCGGCAGCAGCAGCAGCATATGTCTCCTCATGAGTTGGGACATCGAGACACTCACCCTGGACAGGCTGCTTATGGGCGTCCTCCGGAACACCGAGATACTCGCGATCAGTGGGGACGACCAACTACTTCAGACCCGAATTATAGACCGCCCCTCGAGCATCAACGACCTCAACACTCAGAGTACCCCCCTGCATCCGGACCATACTCTCACCACGGGCAGCCGTATCAGGCTTCTCCCCCCGATCGTTATCCGCCAACCTCGCATCCTCCTCATCCATCTGGAAACGCGCCGGCGCCACCTCCACAGTCCTACGAGGCTGACCGAGCTCGCATGGATCAAATTCACCCTCATCCACCTCAACCTCAGGGCCCTCCCCGCCGTGAAGAACCACCACCACCGGCTCCTGCGGGCTATGGCACCTCGCATGGCCCCTCTTTTGATTCGCCTCGTAAGGAGAGTGACGATCATCACGGGCCGAATGGGCTACAGCGAAACTTATTGGCAGTACAAGATATTAATCGCAAGGGTCGAATGTCTCCTCTCCCGCAAGCAGTCCAAGGCGCACAACCACAGCAGCCTGGCCCTGCGGCCGAGCCAGGCATCAAGAGTGAATTTGGTCGCATGTTTTCCGGCATTGGGAGCGGCGTCAGTGGTATCGGCATGTCCAGCCCGGTAGCATCTTCGGCCGCGACGGCGTTCCCAAGCCAAACCTCACATCCTGCAGGTGCCAAACGCGAAGACATTGAGAGTGTCGGGGTGGACTCTGTCGTCGACAATATCAAGGGCGCAAAGCCTGGAAGGAGACGAAAGTTAAAGGATGAAGATGCTCGTGATGATGATAGTTCTGGCAGACTTACGCCTGCAGGCCGAGCAAACAAACGTGCCAAACCGCATCAGCATCATCACCACCAGTATGCTGCTTTCCCCCCCATTTAGCTGTGAGCATCGCCTGGAGCTAACCGATAGTTTTAGTCATCATCACCATCACCACCACCACGGACAAGATTCAGTACCATCACCGACGACTGCGGCTGCTCAGTTTAAGAATCTTAAAGGCAGTACACCGACAGCTTCGCCGACTGAAAAGTCCCACCACCACCACCATCATCACCATGGCCAAAAGACCGGGGCTCCCGCGCCGGCCAGCCAGACTAAGCCTGCGCCTCCTGTCATACCACCAAAGACCAAAACAGTTGTAGCCTCCAAGCTTGTCTTGGACTCGGTCGCCAATCGCGCAAGACATCATCTCGGAGATTTCATATACGAACCCGAACTGAAGCCGGGTCGACTACTTCCAAACACACCCACACACAGAGGCTTCTCGTCGAATCCTAAGCCGCTTCCCTGGGATATCATCAAGGACAAGGAGAATTGCATACTGACAGTCAAGGTGCCGCTTATACATCTCTCTCCTGTAGCTCGCGAGGAAATCACGGCGCGGGCCTATCTGTGGGGCACAGACGTTTACACTGATGATTCGGACGTAGTTGCGGCTTGCATCCATGGCGGCTGGATAAAGGGCGAGTGGACAGACGACGTTGATACGGCCATGTTGGACCTGGAACAGGGAACAGCTGAGGGTGGCAAGCGCAAGACCAAGATTCCAACCCCAGAGCTGCCGAGTCGAGAATCAGAAGGCGCCATCACCGCGCCGCCGCCACTGGGACCCATGGACATCCCAGCAAACCGGGATTTGCATGTCAATGTTTTGATCCTACCTCGACTCGTTAAATACTCGGGGTCTACGCGATTTGGCATTTCTAGCCGTGAGTTTGGAGGTCAATACGGCAGCCGACACTCGGTTCACGATGGCATAAGCTACATGATCAAAAGCATCCGATGGGTAGAAAACGGTGCGCAGCCCCAGGCAAGGCTACGCGGCAAAGCTAGGAGAGAGCGCATGCGTAAAGCAATGAAGGAGGTCACAGCTAGCTTTGGCAACATCCATGGGCTTGACGTGGAGCAAAGCAAGGAAAGCAATGCGTCGCCCCAAAGAGGCGATATCATCGGCAACTGGAGGAAGAAGGACCAGCCGGATGCGCCCGCAGAGGCTGTGAATGACAAGCCGGACCAAGAGCGCGCAGCCAGCGAGGGAAACAAGGAGAACCGCGTAGTAACGGCGCAGCCTGGAAACTCAGAAGAGCCAGCCAAAGAGACGAAGAAAACGCCAGATCAAGATGTTGAAATGACGGAAGCAGATGCGGGGAAGAAAGAGTCGGATACTGTCGAAGAAAAGTAACCATTCTTTTTTTTTTTCAGCTTTAATTTCCTCTTGCGACAATTAGGGAATACCTAGAGGCGTCTGGATAACGTGTTTATCGAAATATTCGCAAACTGTAAGAATACCGGTCATCAAGGAAGCAAAGCGACGAGGGAGGTGGAGGAGGATGGATATGTGGCATGCCCGGCAGCCTTTATTGTACAGTTTAGTGTCGCGTTATGGTACATGTGATGAGGAAACGCCTGCCCTCTCAATTCAAATCATGATTAATTCAATGCCGCACCCTCCGTCTCCATCATGCCGAGCGAGTATTCTCATCCCAGTTCCCCCGGCCGTCTTCGTCATAAGTGCTATATATAGGCCTTCCCTCTCCCGCCGCTGGCAGCTGGTGCCGTACACCCACCCCGTCAAAAGTATCGGTAGAGTGGATTGTTTGCTTGGATCAAAAATCCGTCACGCGCCCGTTGTAGCTCCAGTCGCCGTCGCCTCCCCACCGTAGAGGTTCATTCTTCGGACCGCCCACCTCGCCCGTCTTGGGATTCTTGTCGCCGTCGAACTCGGGCGGCGCGCCGCGGAACAGAGCCGGGTTCACGCTCTCTTCTTCCGTGAGCGTATTGGCCTGCGCCTGCGTCTGTCCCTGGGTGGACGGTGACTCTGCGGGAGCGCCGGTGTTTGCGGGCTGGAAGGCGGAGGAGACGGCGGCTTCGCGTTGGAGACGCTCGAATTCGGCTTGCTGTGAGGCGGGGAGCTTTGGGGGCGCGGGACGGGTCTGGAAGGATGAGTAGGTGCGTGTGCGGGTTCCGCGGGTGAGGATTGCGCGAAGGGGCCGTAGGCGTTGCATTGTTGGCTTCTGAGACGATTGCGTCGGGCTGTTGTGGTGCTTTTGAATTGTGCTGATGGTTGGAACCGGAGTTGAGAAAGGCGAATGCACTCGCTTGGATTGATGGCTTTCATGAGGCGCGGGATTGGTTGAGGGTGTCGCGTGTGGGGCCGGGAGTCGGCTGTCACATAGCCTACTTAGTACTCCGTGCCTGGGTAAGTACATATGCGGTAGTGAATCTAGTGATAGCCTGGCGCTTCAATTCAATGTTGTTTGCCGCCGGACAGGTTAGGCTATAGACAGCCCTATCATCTGTTTGCATTGTGCCTGGTGAAGTAAAATCACAAGGTAAGTTATCTATCTACCACGATAGGCGGACGACGGATGAACAGTGGCTCATTGTCATTTAGCTGTATCGATCTGTCAGGTAACGGCACGGAGCGTTTGGAACTACGGAGATTTTCTTCATCCCATGTACAGGATTTTGGAAGCGTCGCGAAACTGTAATAAATACACGTTTGATGCGACAAGCTCCATGGTTCCTTGTGCCACCCGAGTGGTCCCTTGGGTTACCGCATTGGGCCCCGAGACAGTGTGGACCAGCTTCATGTTGGCATAAAGTGTCGGGGACTCTGGATCTAGAGATAAGCTGCTCAGAGCCGGGTAGTACCTGGTTCCGGTTCTGGTTCCGGTTCCTGTTTCAAGAGAGTGGTACGTACTCAGCGTTGATCACGGAGGTTTAGAACTGGCGTCTCCGGCTCTTCGCATAGATGGCTCCATCCACGTTGCCTCTTGAAGACATGTCTCCCGACCGGAATTGATGCCATCCACTTCATGCGTACCTGCCTAATGACGCTAGCTGCTTCCATAATTGACCGGTTCTCTTAATAGTATAGCGTCTGCTCTTTACAGCAGGTGCGAGGGTGCATGCTGCTGCTCAAACCACGAGCATGTATCAACTTCTCTCAGTCAAACGAAACGCTTGGCGCACGCACATACATACTGGTGCCATCGCGGTGCTCTCCTGGCAGACAGAACACGTTTGGTTTCGTAAGGCTTGGCCGGCCGGGGTCGTGGAGACAAACGTTGAATCGAACACCACATGAGCCCGTGCCTCGATACGATGGATAGCCTGGTCTGCTATCCATGGCTCCGAACTCAACGCCTCTTTGGCGACCGAGAGCGGAACTCTGCCGACCCATGATGCTAGCATCGCCAGAATCAACTCCAACGTCTTGGTCCCCTCCACCCACCCCTGCTAGTCTTCCTCACCACACTCGATGCTACCTAGGCATCTGCTTGACCTGTTGGACTGGCCTGCCCACTTGTAACATCACTGCCTATCTCCTCGATGGCAGCACCAAAGCGTCGAATCACAGTCCTGGGGTCAACCACATGCGCGCGTGGAAGTCGGCAGCCGTCAACTGGTGCCTCTCAACACCATATATTCTTGCTCCCCAGCTCCCCAGCCTACTGCAGTTTGTTTTTCAAGCTCTGGCAATACTGTAGTGTTTGAGGACTCACAAAGGCTCGGAACTCACAACGGGCTATCAGAGTTGACAGTAGGCACTGGCTCTTGTATCGCCTCCGTATACTCCCATTCATTGGCCTTTAGCACTCGGATCCCACATTTTGACGTTTACCTCAGCTGGCCTCTTCGTTATCAATGACAATGGATGTGGAAGTCAAGTAGATTGGTTCTGAAAGAAAAGCCCGAGCCCTATCTGTCTGCCTTTTCAGGCCCGTACACCGACCAGATTGGTCCATCCAAACGAGTTTTTGACGAGGCCAACGGCACTCATTGAGTTGCCTCGACACATGAGATGGCGGCTCTAACTCAATATACTTATGTTTTTGCTCTTACAGCCGCATTTGCCGCTCTTGACGCTTGGAATATCGGTAGGCATCGATACAGGCGTATCAAGGCATAAGGAACAAGACTTCTGAGCTAACATGCTTAGGTGCCAATGATGTCGCCAACTCGTTCGCAACGTCAGTCTCTTCCCGGTCTCTGACCTTGAAGCAGGCCATGGCCTTGGCTGCTGTCTGTGAATTCTCCGGAAGTGCAACCGTCGGCAGTCGAGTAGCTGATACGATCCGTACCAAAATCGTCGACCCTCACCAGTATGACTCCTCGCCTCCAGTCCTCCTACTCGCCATGATGTGCACAGTGTTGGCATCGTCGACTTTCCTCACCGTTGCCACCCGGTATGGCATGCCCATTTCCACTACGCATGCCATGGTTGGTGGACTGATAGGCACAGCTAGTGCGTCCATTGGAATTCGAAATGTGAATTGGGGATGGACGGGCCTCTCGCACGTATTTGCTGCCTGGGCTGTTGCGCCTTGCATGGCGGGATGCCTGGGTGCTTTGCTATTTCTAATCACAAAGCATAGCGTTCTTATCAAGCCGACGGCGGCGCAACGGGCCTTCTATTCCATCCCCTTTTATACTTTTCTTACGTTTGCGTCTATTACCAGTAAGCGTTTGACGAGTTGACACCAATCAGTCGCGGGCATGCTGGAGCTGACAATGTGCAGTGCTGATTGTATGGAAGGGCATACAGATAGTCGAACTATCAACCACGCAGGTTCTATTGTCCGTTGGCATCGCAGCCGCTAGCGCTACATTACTGCAAATAATTTTTGTCATGCCATATCTCTGGGTACGAATTATGCGTCAAGATTGGACCTTGAAATGGTATCATGTTTTTCAGGGACTTTGGCTTTTACGACGACAGCCACCTCCGCCAACTCCTCCTGGTTTCGTAAAGCCGCAGATCAAGGACTACTATCATGGCCACCTGACCCCGGAAGAATTACATTGTATGCGAGCATCAGAGAAGTTGTTGCAATCGGTGCAGAGGGGTCGCCCCGAGGAACAACCCGACATGGATAAGAACGAGGATCTTATTCTACCACCATCCGCCTTATCACCAATGTCTTCTACTCGAAGAGGTTCTCTATCAAAAGATGGTCTTATTCCTCCCAGACCACCCGGACCATCGACGAGTTTTCCTGTCATGGCCTGGAAAGCCAATCGCTTCCTACTTCGTGGCATCGAACAAGACGTCATTGCAATGCAGAAGCGCAATGCAGTGCTAAAATGGGATATTGAAGACATGCATTCTCGAGCAACGAGATTCGACAACCGAGCGGAATACGTGTACTCGTCACTCCAAGTCCTCACCGCGGCCGCAGCATCATTCACACATGGAGCCAACGATGTCTCAAACGCAATTGCTCCCTTCTCAACTGCGTACCAAGTCTGGTCGACAGGGACCATCCCCGATCTTGTCCATATTCCCATCTGGGTGCTTTGTTTTGGCGGCGGAGGAATTGTGCTCGGCCTGCTGACGTACGGGTACCACGTCATGAGGACATTGGGTAATCGGCTGACTCTCATTTCACCGAGTCGGGGATTCTGTATGGAACTCGCCAGCGCCATTACTGTCCTCACGGCGACTAGACTATCGCTGCCCGTGTCCACGACCCAGTGCATCACAGGAGCTACGGTGGGCGTGGGCCTGGCTAATGGGGATTGGAAATGTATCAATCCGAGGTTGGTGGGATGGATATACCTGGGCTGGCTCATTACTGTGCCAGTCACGGCGTTGACATCCGGCTGTCTGATGGGTTTAATTCTGTATGCACCGAGGTGGTGAACTTTTGTGTTTCGAGGTGTAGAATTCGCGACCTAGGAATAGAATGGCATTTGGAGTTTGGAGCTAGTTTCTCTAGCACAGCAAGCTTTTTTTTTTTTTTTTTTCGTTTCGACGTGGCCTTTTACGAGGAGTTACAATGAATCAATGTTAGGACAGGAGGGGCAGACATGAGGCTTTTCTGTATGAACATGATGTAAGATGTAAGTCTATAAAGAGGATGGAAGAAAGTAAGACACAGTTTAATAAATTTAATAAGAAAACCTAGATTTAGCGATGCTATGAAGTGAATTTCTGAGGAAGAGGGTGGTCATGGATGCGATCATGTGGAGTTGCGAAATGTATTCATGCATCACTAACCACTCGCACATCAGCTTAACGGGCCCCTGCGAAAACATAAAATGCGGTAGAAAACAGGCATAAACAGATAAGACATATTTAAAAAGGCCAAATGTGTGAGGCACGCCGGCAAAAAAGCTAAGAAGAATGCCAAAGTTGACCGCCACGTAGAGACACAAGAAGGTGAGGATGAGCTT